AGGAGGCACTTGTCCTCGGTGACCACAGCGCGCACGCCGCCAATGTTGAGCAGCACGCACTCCTCCTTGATCGTCACGCTGGGGGAGACCTTGGTGGGGCTGCCACAAGGCAGGGGGGCAGGGGGCCAGGGCGCGGGGGGAGCACTTAAAGTAGGGAGGGAGAGGCGGCACGCGGCATGGCCGGGGGAGGACGCAGCGGCACGGTTGGCTGGGTCGGGGCCAGGCGGCATGGCTGGGTGGGCTGGGGGCAGGCTGCCGCCGCGGGATGGCGGGCGGCAGGCGGCCCCCGTTTTGGCGGGGAGGCGGGACCACCAGGCTGCCGCGCAGCGCAGCGCAGCGCCGCGGGCGCCCACCTGAGGGATGGGTCCACCCTGCGCAAGTCCCGGGGCTGCAGGCCGTGGGCGCGGATCAGGTCTCGCCGCCGCACATACACTCGCCGCGTCTTGCCCGCCTGGTCAATGCGCAGCGTCTGCGGGCGGGGGGCGGGAAGCGGGCAGAGGCAGGCGGGCGTGACGCAGCGGCACCGCCGGCCGGGCAGGATGCGCGGCCCCGGCCCCCGCTGCACACGCCAGCTGGCGCCGCTCGTGGCGCGCCCCATTCCTGCCCAGGCCCCCGCCCTGCCCAGCCCGCGCTGGCAGCGGCTGGCCGCCACAGCCGCGAAGATGAACACTTCTCCAGTTTCTGGCGAGCTCTGGCAGGCAGCCCGCGGCGCCGCACCTCGAACACCGACTTGCCGACCTCCTTGGCGGAGGGGCACGACTCCAGGAGGATGTCCTCCTGCACCTCTGCGCTGCCGTCCTCATAGTCCACCGTGTGCTCCGCGTTGTCAGCAATGTCCAGGGAGGTGAGCACCGCGTGGCGCAGCTGCTTGAACGTCTCGGTGGGCAGGCTGGGGCGCGCGGCGGCGGCCGGCGGCGGCGGGCCGGCGTGGCCGTGGCCGGCGGCGGCGGCGGCGCCGTTGGCGCCAAAGACGTCGGCCTCCGCGGCGCCGGGCTCCACGCCGTGCAGGCCGCCGGCGGCACGCCCGCCGTGGTGCTCCACGGTGCGGCAGGCCAGGTCGGAGGCTTGCCGCCGCCGCCGCCGCGGCAGCGGGCCCTGGCCCGGGAAGCCGGCGCGCTGGGCGGGGCCCCGCTCAGCGCCCCAGCGCAGGCTGCTGGGCAGGCCAGAGGCAGCGCCCAGCGAGGCTGGACAGGCCTGCATGGCTGCTCGAGGAGCGAAACGCTGAGGCCAGCTGCGCAGTCGCGGTGGGGCTGCTCACGGGGCTCCAAGCAGCACACATGCACCAGTGGCAGGCCGCTGAGGCTGTGGGCACGCCCTGCTGCAGCTGCCGTGTGAAGTGGTGGTGAGGGGCTAACACCGCCTTCCTGGGCTGCACACACGCTCGGTGCACCGGTCAGGCAAGTCGGACCGCACGGCAGCAGCTGGGCAGCCGCCCTTATCGCGAGGGATTGGGAGGAGCTGGCGGCCTGCGTGGCGGCACCGCCTGGCGGATGTGCGGCGCCTGATGTGCCATGCCTTGCCTCCCACGCCTTCTCTCCCTGACCTTCTGGTGCGGCCTGCTTCTGACCAAGATACGCCTTACACGGGGCGGCAGCGCACGCCAGCCATCAGCCCGCCGGCTGCGCCAGCATGCCGAGCACGTCGGACAGCATGCCGCCCATGCCGCCCATGCCGCCGCCCGCGGCGGCGGGCAGGTGCAGGGAGCGGCACCTGTCCAGCAGCTGCCACAGGGCGGGGTCGCGCTCTATGCTGGGCTGGTAGCGCTGCTGCAGCAGCTGCGCCAGATCGGGGGAGCCGCGGCCCATCGCCTCCAGAAACAGCGACACAAAGTGCAGGAGCGGGGTGTCGGGAGGGGCGTGCCCCGCCGCCGCAGCATACGCGCCGCCCAGCAGGTGCCGCGCCGCGTCCAGCTGCTGCTGGCGGGCCACCGAGGCGGGCGCCGCGGGCGGCGGCCTGGCCGCCGCCATCGTCAGCGCCGCCCGCGCCACAAAGAGCTCCTCCTCCTCGCTGCTGCCCTCGGCCGCCGCCGCCGCCACCGCCGCCGCCATGGCCGCCGCGTCGCCGGCGCGCGCGTAGTGCGGCAGGGCAAAGCCCAGGCCCTGCCACCCCAGGCTGGCAGTCACGTACGCCGCCAGCCGCCCCTCCAGCTGCGCCTCGTGCAGCCAGTCCCCCGTCCTGCGCCCCAGGGAAGCCAGCAGGGAGGTTTGGAAGACAAGAGAGGGGTCGAGGGGGTTGAGAGGGCGCACCATCCAGCGCCAGCAGCGGCGGCGGCCAGGCTGGCGGCGCCAGCGGCGCGGGCGCCAGCCAGCGGTGCGCACCCTCTCAGCCACTTGATGGCCGCCGACACAAAGCTGGCGCACTCCTGCACCGGCGGGTCCTCCGCGGGCGGCCGGCCCTGCCGCGGGAAGGCGTCGATCAGGGCCGCCACACGCGCCACCGCCTCCTCGCTGGGGGCCGCCCCGTCTGCGGCGTACGCCTCCACCAGCAGCATGCACAGCTCCACGCCGCAGTTGAGCTGGCCCTGCCGCAGCTGCAGCCGCGCGCCCTCCTGCGGCACGGCGCGGCGTGGCGACGGGGCAGGCGGTTGGCACTGGCGGCAGAGGGCGCATGCGGCAGCGCCTACACATACAGCAGCGCAACCCAGCAGCTCAGCCCCAACTCCACATGCTCCCTGCCCTGCCCATCCTTCCCCCAGCCGTACACCCACCCACCAGCACAGAAATGCATGCACAAACACAACTGACCTGGCACAGCTGGTAGCTCTCCTCGTGCTGATTGCGCGTGCGGTACCGGTAGTACACCGTCTTGAACATCTCGTGCGCCTCGTAAAACTGGCCCGCCGCCAGCGACGCCGCCAGCTTGCGCAGCACCTGCGGGCAGGCCAGCAGGCGGAGTTGAACTTGGTAGGGCAGGCGCTGGCCACCGGCAGCTTGCCGCCGTCCGCCGTGCTGCATTCCCCGGGCTCTGCGGGAGAGAGAGGCGGCGCTGCTACTGCTGCCACGCTGCTTGGCAAATCGCAGGCCGTTGGACTGCCCGTTCGTGCAGGAAGACCAGCGAGAAGCTCCCGGCGCCAGATGGCCGACGGGGCTGGGTGGCGCTTGATCCCCAACATGCATGGATCGCACTGCCAGTCCCGAATTGCGTTGGGCAGCGTGCCTTTTGAGTGCCTGCCGACATCTTCGCTTTGGCCAGAGTGCAGACGGCCTCCCAGATTTCCACACGATCCACACGATTTGGGATAGGTTCCAGCAAGCGTGGGCAGGCCAGACGAGGCCTCCAGACGATTGACAGCGTGGCGATTTTTCGTCAATTCCCAAACACGCCTGTTGCGGCGGCCTGCTCTGTCTCAGACTCGCCATTCAGATCCTTTCACTGATCAACTTCGTCTGAGACCGCCCCTTGCCTTCCACAGCCCACCAACCCTTGGGAGCGGCAATGCAGCGTCTACTCACGTCTGCCAGGCAGTTCCTGCCTGCAGCGCAACGTGCAGGTGGCCTGTCCGAGCTGCAGCGCGCCGGTGAGGCACATTGCCGCTTGCCGCCGCCGCCGCCGCTGCCACTGCCCCCGCCCGCCGACACCCCGCTTGCCTGGCATCCTTCGCAGGCGGCCTGGCGACGGCCCGGCACTTCACCACACACGACGACAGCCATGATGACTTCAAGCCCAAGGTCAAGGCGGCGCCGTCGGCCGGCGTGGAGGGCATCATAGAGCAGGATATTGCCTCGCACGACGTCTTTATCTACATGAAGGTGCGCCGGGCAGCTGCGGGGCCTGCAGCACCCACACCACGGCGCCCGCAGAGCTGCAGCACAGCAGGCTGCCAGGCGCCTGCGCTGAGGTTTGGCTGCCGCTGGGCGACAGGGCACTTGGGCTGTACATGGTACGAGCCCCCCGGTTGCCCCGCCACACTCGTGTGTATGCAGGGCGTGCCCCAGGCGCCCATGTGCGGCTTCAGCAACATGGCATGCGCCATCCTCAACCTCTACGGTGAGGCAGCAGCAGCAGCAGCGGTGGCGATGATGCCTGCCCTGCGGCCGTGAGCAAGGGAGGCGCCGCTGGCGGAGCTGCGCATGGCAGGAGGCGGATGATCAACCGGCGCGACGTGCTGGCTTGCCTGGGCCTGCAGGCGTGGAGTATGGCTCCCGCAACGTGCTGGCAGACCCGGATGTGCGGGAGGGCGTGAAGAAGTTCACCGCCTGGCCCACTATCCCGCAGGTGTGTGTGTGGTGGTGGGGGGCAGGGCGGGTGGCTGAGGTGTTGGCAACGCGTGTGATGGAGGGCTGCTCTGGAATCAGTTGGGTGCGGCCCTTGTGCGAGGGCCTGGCCTGGTGAGGAGCACGCATGGAATGCCAGTGGTACCATTGAGGATGCCTGCGACCACCCCCCGGGCCGCAGATCTTCATCAAGGGCGAGTTTGTGGGCGGCAGCGACATCCTGCACGAGATGCACCAGAAGGGGGAGCTGAAGAAGGCGCTGGAGGGCTGCAAGACGGAGGAGTAGGGGGCGGCAAACTGATAACCAACGCATGCCTCCCCTCCAGCTGCCTGCTGGTTGCCTGTAAGAGTATGTCTGCTGGGGGACCGCTCAGCGCCGCAGTCTGTTCACATCAGGTGCCCCGACATGCTTTGCTTTGCAATGCCTGATCCCCATCAGGTGCCCCGTCTGATCCCCAACCAGCACAGCACGCACATGCATCAGGCTGCGCTGGACCAGCCCTCCAGCGCTCGCTGCAGCGGGACAAGAACCCGCTTCGCCACGTCGAAGCCTTTGCGGCAGGTGTAGGTGGGCAGCTTCTGGCCGCCACATGGTGCATCCTTCGCCCCGTCGCCCGCTGCACGCTGCTGCTGCCGCCCCACCGTCTGGCCCTTGCCCCTGCCCTGCCGCACCAGCCCTGGGAAGGTGAGCCAGAAGTCTCCACTGATGAGGTGCATGGGGCTGTGGTAGGTACCAGAGCTCAGCAGCAGCTCCCCATCCGCCATGCTGTAGCGCTGCAGGGGCGGGGGCAGGGCCGGCCCGCAGCTCCGGTTATTGTCTGCCAAGAAGTGGGGCGGCAGGGTTCCTCGCCAGGCTGAAGCATGCATCCTGTGCCTCTGTGTGCCTGCTGCGCTGGGTGGCGCTGCAGGCTGGCCCGTTCAGGCCATGCAGCTGCTTGCTGCCTCAGCCCAATGCTCTCTCCCTCCTCTCTCTCGCTCACCAATTCCCTTGGGTGTGGACCCCAGCTTACTTGCACGGCACCCACCTTTAGCTTGCCTGACTTTACGTTGCCGTTTTTGAGCGCGGCAGCCCACTCCTGCCTGCTCAGCATGTCCTGCTTGGTGAAGCAGTAGCGGTGCTCCATCCACGCCTACGGGCGGGCGGGTGAGGCAGCAGGCAGCAGCAGGGAAGGCAGATGGGCACGGGTAGAGGCAGCATGGAGCACCAAACCCACACAGCACCAATCCAAGCACACCTCCTCGTGCAGCTGGTAGATGGACTGCACCAGAGTCTTGGCGTACACCAGCTGCCCATCATCCTGAATGTCGTACAGCATGATGGCGCCATGCCCTGGGTCCCCTGCATCGAGCCAGGGCACGACACAGCAAAGACAGAGGTAGGGCAGGCCGCCACCACCCCTCCTCTGCGTGCAGCAGCCCCCGGTCAGCGACCTGAAGCCATGCCTGCATGCAACCACAGCACACACAGCAGGATGCTCTCTCCGCCCACCTGCCTCAAAAGTCAGCTCTTGACCGCCCTGGGGTACCGTGGTCGCTGACCGGTGGAATGTCAGGGGCCAGCTGTGTCCAGAAACGTCACCCTCGCTCCCCTCGAAAGCTGTGCCATCATCCCCGTCGAGGCATGCTCCCTCGAACAACAGGGAACCCCCGAAAGAGAGCCGGCCGCGAAAGTGGCGCTCTGCGATGCCCTCGAGGGTGCTGGCGTCGGGGTGATGCACCACAGGCCCGAGCTGTATGAGGGTGGTGGCAGGCAGGCTGCGATCTGCTGCCTTCCCCGCTTTCTCTGCAGGGAGGAGCTGTGTGGGGTGAATATGAGGGCTGGCAGTGCATCCAGCGCGAGTCGCAATGACCCCTGCTCTCACCTAAGTACCGCCTGCTGAAGCAGCTGGAAGGGGGAGGCTGCAGCGCTGCCGGCCCTATCTGGGCCCCGCGTAAACTGCTGTGGCTGCCACCAATGGCTGCGCTCCCAAGCAGCACCTGCTTCTCCTCCTGCTGCTGCTGCATGCATTCCGTTGGCCCAGCCCCAGCGCTGCCCTGGCCATGCTGCCCTACCGGCTGCAGCACATGCCCGCCAGAGCCCCGGCTGCTGAAGCTGCCTTGGGAGGCGCTCCCGGGGCGTTCAGGTGTGCCCGTGCCACTGAGGGAGCCCAGCAGGCTGCTGCCCCCTTCGCTGTGTCGCCTAAGCTGCCACAGCAGGCCGCTGCTGCCGCCCAGCCTGAAGTGGGAAGTGCTGGGGAATGTGCCAGTCGCGTTTGGGCCTCGTTCCTTCCCTGCTGCGCTGCCAGCGGGCGTGCCAGCAGGACTGCTTGGCATCACTTTGCTGGTGCCGCGGTTGAATGTGACGAATGGGTGGCGGCTCATGGTGATGGAGGCCGTTCTTGCAGGTCGGAACGCGCCTGGCTGGCTGTCGGCAGGTGTGGCGGCAGCGGAGTCCATGCCCAGCCAATCAGTGCCGCCCACGCTGTAGCTGCTGGGTGAGTCGTTCAACTGCCCAGCTGCCTCCCCCTGCTGCTGCATTCTGGCTGCCCACAGCGCGTCACTGCTGCAGCTGTTGGGTGTGCCGTCGCGTGCCACCTGCCCTTGCTCCTGCGAGCTCCCTGCCCCCTGCCCATCCTCCTGTCGCTCTTCCCGCTCATCATCTGCATTGAGCGCATCCAGCTCCTGGGCCCTGGGGCTGGGCGCTGTCCGTGGATTGCTACCGGCTGCCTCCCGCAGCTTGCTGCCAGCAGCCAGCAGCAGGTCTGGCGACAGGTCTGGCAGAGGCAGCGGCGAGCACGTGAGCGGGCTGAGCAGCGCCGCTGCGGCCTGGCTGCCAGTGCGCTGCTGCGCTGGGGATGCGGGCGATGGCAGCGGGTCCTGCACCGCAGCTGCCTCCAGCATGCGAGCATGGCTCGGCTGCTGCAGCAGCTGCTGTTGAGCTGTGCCCGCTGGGCTCCCACCAGCTGCTGGGGTGGCCGACGGCTCCAGGAATGGCGCAGCTCGCGGGCTGGCAGGCGGCGGGCGCACCTCGCCCCGCAGCTTCTCCGGGCTGGCAGGCGTGGCTGCATGCCGCGGTACGTGCGCCTCAGCAGTGGCCTGTGCGGCAGCTGAGGGAGCCACTGGCCCAGGCACTGCCGCTACAGAGGTGGTGGCGGCGCTGGTGCGCGTAGGGGCCACCACATAGTTACCCATGCTCAGGAGGAAGCCGTGAACCAAAGAATCCGTCAACCAGGCTGACGAGACTACTGGGATGCAGTGGGTGGCCGCCGCTAGCAGCTTCCCCTCTGTCCAGTTCAGCTTGGCATCGGGGTCGACCACCACCGCCGCCGTGCAGCCCACCCTCAGCGCGGGACAGTATGTGGCGCGCATCCGCGCTGCAAGCTCCGGCAGCTCCGCCCGCTCGGCCCGGGGCAGCCCAGTGACCGTGAATTCCAAAGGAAGGCCGGGCATTCGCTGAAAATTCGCTTGATGATGTTCGAGGGGCCAACAGAAAGCGAGGATTGGGCCAGAGCCCGCGCGGGAGCGCGCCAAGAGACCTCCTGGCGCTGCAGTTGAAATGTGCGGGGCGCAAGGTGTTGCGGAGGGTTCAGTGGAGCGGCGCCAGCTGTCGGCCAGCACGCACAACGGAGGCGCCGCGCTCCTGGGTTCCCTGCCTCCTCATCCAGGTTACACGCATCAAATTGAATGGTTCTGTACAGTATAGAAGCTCTGGAATGTTCTACATGCATATGTTCTACCTACAGGGAGTGCAGCGCCACGCAGGCGACGTCGTTGGCAAGCACGGTGCACCGCGACCCCGCGTCTCGCAGCACAACGCGCAGCGCCACCCCGGCCGCCTTGAGCGTCGCCAGCAGCGCCGTGTCCACCTCCTCGTGGCGCTGCTTGTGGCAGACGAGCACCTTGAGGGAGGTGCCGCCATGGGTGCCGTCGCTGCCGGTGCCGCCGCCAGCCACCGCCGCGGCGTGCCGGACCGCCGCAGCCACAGTGGCAGCCAAGGGGTCCACCGCCGCAGGGCTGAACACCAGGTCAGCACCCAGCAGCCAATCGTACTGCAGCGCCGGGGGCTGGGGGCACAGCAGCGCCGCGTCTGGATGGCGCCAGTCGAGGGTCGCGACGGTCAGGCTGCCGCCCGCTGCACCCACCATGGCGCGGTTGAGCGCGGCGCTGGCCTGCAGCTGAGGCAGCACCTCGGGCAGGTCGGTGGCTGTGACAGCAGCCCCCAGGCAGGCCGCTGCCAGCCCCACAATGCCCGTGCCGCCAGCACCCAGCTCCAGCACGCGGCTGCCACGCATCATGGCGCCACAGTGGGTGCTGGGCGGGGCAGGGGCGGCTGCGGCGCCGCAGCGGTTCGGCTCCCCTGGCGGGCCGCTGCTGCAGCCGCTGCAGCTGCCCGGGCCAGCTGCGCCGCCTCCAGCCTGCTGCTGCTGCTGCTGCTGCTGCACTAGGAACCAGGCAAGCAGGGCGCCTGCCTCCCACACCACGCCGCTGGGCCCCGCCTCCGTGCCGTGCTGCTCCAGCAGGCGCAGGCCAGGCAGGCCCAGCTGGTGCCCCAGCTGCAGCTGCAGCAGCTGGCGCACCTCGCCGAGCTCCTGCCGCGCAGCCGCCGCCACATCCTCGTTCTCCTCTCCTGCTGCTCCTGCTGCTGCTCCTGCTGCCGCGGCAGCAGCCTGCAGGCAGCGGTTGTAAGCTGCACCTGCCTCCTTCAGCCTGCCCGAGTTCCGGGCCGCCCTGGCGAGAGTCAGCAGGGCCACAGGCCAGTCAGGGCGCAGCCTCACGGCAGCCGCGCCCGCCTCGTACGCTGCCTCGTCCTGCCCCGCCTCCATTCTGCACTGTGCCAGCATTTCGTGCTGCGCAGCGTCGCCAGGTTGCAGCCGCAGCGCCTGCTCAAACGCCGCAGCTGCTGCTTCAAACTGCCCGTCTGCTGCCAGCTCAGCAGCCTGGTTGGCAAGCTCGGTGCCAGTGCCAACCATAGCGCAGTCAAGAGCAGAGATGGGAGCTGGTCAGTGGCTGCTGCCACCACTGCCAAATGGCGGCTGGCCGAAGCTGAACTGCTGCTGCTGCTGCTGCCCAAAGCCAGGCTGCTGCTGCTGCTGGGCTGCTGCCTGCTGCAGGTGCTGCTGGTAGGGCGTGGGGTCAAAGCCCGGGGCGGCCCCCACAACTCCCTGCCCCGCCAGCGCCTGGCGCAGCGCCGCCTGCCGCCTCGCCGCCTCGCGCCGCTGCTTCTCCTGGCGGCGGCGCTGGCGCTCCGCGGGCGGCAGCTGCTCCTCCTCCTCGTCTGACTGGGAGAGCAGGTGGGGGATGTCCAGGTAGCTGCGGCAGCACAGGGGTGTGGGGGTGGAGGTGCGTGATCCCGGGCCCGGGAGGGCACAAGGCGCCTGAGGAGGCGCCACGGCACGACGTGCCAGACAAGCAGGCAGGTGGGCAGCCCGGGGCAGGCTCTGGCCCCGGGTCAGGCTCCTCTGCAGCCCCACCCCTGGGGCTCCGTACCGCACCTGTACTCCAGTTGGTTGACCAGCTGGTCAACGCAGGGCCCGAGCGAGGTGGTGGTGCTGGGCGTCGGCGGCGGCAGCGGTGCGGCTGTAAAGAGGGCAGCAGATCAGGCTGCATTGAGTACGTGCTGATGCTGTTGCACTAGATCTCCAGATGCGTCCACAGTTGGCACAAGGAGCAGAGGCAGAGAGGCAGGCCGCAGCAGCATGCATCTGTCCGAGGGACCGCAGGAGGCGGCATGGCGCACCGGGAGCCTGCTGGTTTGGGGGCGCAGTGCTGTTGAAGTACTGCTGGAACTGGTTACTCATGGCTGTAGCCCATGTGAAATCGCTGGACGAATGCACATTCCAGCCTGGCTCGGCGCTGCCCTGCAGATAACGGGGCAGGCCCGCGGGCGGGAGCGGTCGCGGCGCGCGGCCACGGCGGGGGGGGGGCGTGTGCCGTTTGTTGGCGGTCCAGCGCCCTCCCATAGGCTGGAAGCACCACGAGAGGTTTATATAGCAGCGTGCCTCACCAGCCAGGCCCGCGAGCGCAGCGAGAGGATCGGATGGGAGAAGGTTGTGACGAGAAGATCACGTCCCTGCCAATCTCCCGCGATGCAAACAATGCACCCAGCCAAACTCCCGAGCGTTTGGCTTGGCAGCGGCATTGCATTAGGACGTGGCGGATGAGCTGGCTGCGAGCGCAACCCCACCGATGTTGCCTTCATTCCTAAGCCCGCAATGGTGCCCATGCTGCATCAGCTGGGCAGGGCCTCGCCCGGTTGCCCCTGTGCAGCGGTCTGTGCTGGCGCCGCCGCTGCCGCCGCCAGTGCAGCCAGGGCCTTCAGCCGTGCCTCTGGACCGCCCTCGAGCGCCTCTGCAGACTGCGGGGATCTGTATGCGCTCATTGGGGTGCCGCCATCTGCCACACGGGCGGAGCTGAAGGCGGCGTTCCGGCAGGTGGGCGGCTCCACCACTTCAGTCTTGTTCTGTTCCCAACCCAGTTCTGTGGCTTGCCTGTTGCTGACCTGCTGCACATCACATCCCCACCCGTTGATGAGGTGACGGGAGCGGAGCAGACCTCTGCCTACCTGCTGCCGCTCACCGCAGAGGGCCAAGCAGCTGCACCCCGATGCGGCGGGGCACAGCGCCCCCAGCCACGAGGCATTAGCCCGCTTGATTTCGGCCTACCAGGTGCTGGTGGACCCGCGCAGCCGCCAGCTGTACGACCTGAGCCGCGACCGCAGCAGGCCCAGCGTGCTGCGCGCCGCGGCGGCCAGCGGGGTGCAGAGCGCCGCCGGCGCCGCCTACGAGGAGGTGGAGGTGAGGCGAGGGTCCGCCACGCATGCCCTGCCTGGCCGCCAAGGTCCTGACGAAAACATGCAGCAGGCCAGACATGCAGCAGGTCGCGGCCTGCTCCCTGCGTGCCCCATCCCCTGTTGGCCCTGTTTGCCCGCAGGTGGACCTGTCGTGGGGGCTGAGCGGCGTGTTCAAGCCGCGCGCCGACGGCGCCACGGCGCTGGACCGAGTGCGGCAGGAGCTGCAGGGGTGCGTGTTCCTGGGGAGCAGAGATGCCCTCGGGGCTTGCTGCTACAGCTGTGGGTCAAGCGCCAGCCCAGGGTGGGCTGCAGTTGTCCCTGCGCACAGCCCAGCCTGCTGCTGCCGCTGATGCAGCCAGCCTCGCCGCTCTGCAGGGAGCTGCACTCTGCTATGCGCCGCGCCTACCTGGGGCCTCGCCTGGACCAGCTTGACTCTGGCTGCCTGCCCGATGCTTTCGAGGCAGACGAGCGCGCCGCCCCCGAATGCCCAGACCTGCTGCAGCTGGTCAGCGGGCGGCAAGTGCTGGGGGCAGTGCGGGAGCGGCGGCTGGAGTTGCTGGAGCGCCAGCGGGCGGCGGCAGCAGCGCTGAGGGAGGGGCTGCGGGCGGCGGCAGCGTTGGGGGATGGGGAGCAGCAGCAGCGGGGACCCCAGCCGACAGGCGGGGAGCACGGGGGAGCGGCGCCGGTTGCTGTTGCAGCTTCCAGCGCCGTGACGGACCATCAGGAGCAGCAGCAGCAATCGGGCGGCAGTGGTCAGCAGCGGGACGGGCAGGAGCAGCGGGAGCCAGACGTGCTAGACCTCTACATAGGAGAGGAGGTAGTGGCAAGCGCGGTTCGCCACTTCCCGCCGCCCTGCAGCGACAGCAGAGGCGGTGGAAGCGGAGGCGACAGCGGCCACCCTGGAGGCGGTACCGGTACTGGCACGCAGCACGGGTCTCAGCAGGCGGCGGCTGCGGGAGCAGGCAGTGCAGCTGGCGGCGTGGCGGCAGGGCCAACGCAGGACCAGCAGCAGCAACAGCAGCAGGCGCCAGGCCCCCAGCAGCCGCCGCAGCGCCTGCCTGCCGAGGTGATTGGCGTGTACGGGCGCGGCGGCGAGCTGCTGGCGCGGCTGGAGGCGCAGCAGCTGGACCCCGGCTCCTCCACCGCCTCCTCGGCGCGCCTGCTCAGCGCCGCGGGGCTGCACACGCACACTGTGTACCGCACGCAGACGCCGCTGGTCAGGTGGGGCACGTCGGGCCGAGGTGGGGCGGCGGCACCGGTTGACGCAGCTGCTTGCTTTGCTGCCGCCTGTGTCATGCCGGTGGAGGCTGGCCACCCAGGCCTGGCGACTTGCCTCACCCTCGTCCCCCGCCCCTGCGCAGGCACCTCACATTTGCGGCCGAGCCTGGGGCCACGGGCCTGCGCAGCCGCCGCCCCAGCCGCCTGGTGGTGTGCCGCGCGCGCAGGGCCTGGCTGCCGCCCTCCTACCTGTGGCTGTTCAAGCCGCTGGCGCACACACACGACATCGGCGGGTGGTGCCTGGAGTGGGCGGGGCATAGCCAGAGCGAGCACCCCGCTTGGCTGCACCCGTCGGTGCTGGTGCTAACGGCAGCATTCGACAGCTTGGACCATGAGCGGCAGGGCAGGCAGCCGCTGGGGCTGTTTGCGCGCATCAGGGCAGCGGCAGCGGCAGCGGCGGCAGGGGAGGAGCAGGGCGGGGCCGCTGGCTGGCGCGGCTGGGCGCGAAGCATGATGCGATTCCACGGCTACGGCTCGAAGCGCTAGGCGCCGGGCAGCCAGTCCTTGCTAGCTTTGTCTCCATTGCTTTGCACTTGCTGGGAACCGCTGATTGGTAAACAGGGTGGCACAGCAGCCACATGGCAGTGCAGCGCATGGGCAGGGAAGACAGGCTGGCAGGAACAAACTAAGACTAGAAACTAAGACTAAGCAACAAGTGCAGCTCCATGAAAAGGCAGCGCAGGCAGTCGGGTGCCCTGCCGCGCGCCTCACAGCTTGCTGAACACGGGCCGCCGCCCCTCGGCCCTGGCCGCAAACACCTCCGCCAGGTCTGCCGACTGCGGCAGCAGTGAGGCGTTCAGGGCGGCCACGTACTCCAGCCCGTCGCGCACGCTGTGGTCGCGCTGGTACAGCAGCGTGCGCTTGGTGCCCGCCACCGCCAGCGGGCTCTTGGCCGCGACCCGGCGCGCCAGGCCCAGCGCCCCCGCCATCAGAGCTGCCTGGTCCGCAAAGGTCTGGCTCACCAGCTGCATGCTCTGGGCCTCGGCGCCTGCTTGGTAGGGGTAGCAGGGGGCCGGTGCAGGGCGGTGAGCGCAGCGCCAGGTGGCAGCCGAGGGAGCAGCAGGCCAAACCAGAGGCCACAGGGTGGCGCAGCGAGGCTGGCTGCATGCCGGCCCACAGAGCCTGCCCTGCCCACCCGCCTGTGAAGTTCCTGGCCGTCAGCGCCAGCTCCGCCGCACACCCGTGCCCCACGATGCTCGGCAGGCGCTGCAGGGTGCCCATGTCGGCGACGATAGCGAGGTCCACCTCCTGTGCACAGCAATGGGATGGGGCAGCCGGGCAGTGTGCAGGCAGGCAGGATGTGCGGCAGTGGCAGGTGGAGGGAGAAGGGGGGGGCAGGGAGAGCATTCAACGGCTGCCTGCCTCTTCCAGCGAACCCGTGCCTCACCTTGACCGAGAAGTTGGCTGCCTCGGTCGCCAGCCGGATGTCGCAGGCGGTGATCATGTCGACGCCGGCGCCGATGCAGTGGCCGTGCACCGCCGCTATCACGGGCACGGGGCACGCCTCAAAGGCGCTCATCGCGTCTTGCAGCACGCGGACAAACTGGCGGAAGCGCCAGCGGTGGCGCCCGCCGCAGGCCGCCGCCTCGTCGCCGCCGGCGCTCTGCTGCGACTGCATCAGCGAGTCCAGGTCGATGCCGGCGCAGAAGTTCTTGCCGGCACCGCTCAGCACAATCTGCAGCAGGTGGGGGGCTGTTTGGTCGGGCCGCCAGCCGAGTTGAGCGCGACGCGCAGACGGCGGCGGCCGGGGCGGGCTTACCGCCCTGGCTCCCTGCGCCACCAGCTCCTGCAGCGCTCTGGGGATCTCCTCCCACATTGCGGAGTCTACTGCGTTGCTCTTGCGCGGGCGATTGAGCTGTAGCGAGCCGACATGGGCGTCCACCGACACTGAGACACTAGAGAACCGTGCCATCGTGCCTTGTGAGTGTGGCAGAGTTGTCGTAATTGCGAGTGAGGCGGGCAAGTTGTCGGAATTGCGAGTGAGGAGTTCAGAAATGGCAGCGCCTAGGTGGCGGCGGCGGTGCCGCTGCCTGAAAGAGCTTGGCACCAGCACAGTGCTCCAAGTAACATGGCAGCCGAATGGGCCATGCCTGAGCTACTTAAAATGGTTGTTCTGCAGCTGAGGGTCAGGATCACTAGTGGTGCATGCGCCGGGAAGCCGCTGATCTGGACGGCGGCCAGGCGCTTCGCCCGAGGCTCTTTGCCTAGGCTCTTTTCGCACATTGCGCAGTGCCTCCTGTCCCTCTCTGCCCCAGTTGCGACGCTTTCCACACACCATGTCCCTGGCCGTGGCACGCAACCTGGGCAGGCCCCTGCAGCTGCTGTGCCCCGCCAGCTGCGGCGCCGCGCGAGGCTTTGCCACTGGCGACAAGCTGGAGGCAGACACACGCACCACCAAGCCGCAGCAGGCGGGTTTGGCCTGGAGGAGGCGGGCAACCTTAGATGCCTCACCTTGACAGGGCGTTACACTCTCAGCCAAGACTGCCCAGCCGAGGAGATCTGCTGCTCCTCTGATGCCTGTGCTGCAGGTGGCACATGAGACGGATGAGGCGACCAAGGAGTCGGTGGGTGGCGCCCTTCTCTCTGCATAGCACAAGTGAACGGATGAGCTGTCGGGGAGTGGCCTCCCTCAGCCCCTCCCCTGATGCAAAGGTTGCTAGCTGCGACCGCTCGCCTCCACCCTGGCTGCTGCAGATCCGCCACGCAGCGGAGGGCGATGTCACCGAGGCGGCCAAGGATGTGGGGGACATGGCTAAGAATGCGGCCAAGGTGGGGGCAGCCCTTGCCCCGCCAGCCTTCCAGCCGCCGACCGGCTGCAGCCTGCCGCTGGCCCCACTCCATGAGATGCACGCCCTCGATGCTGCGCTGCCCTGGAACCCTGCCCTGAAACCCTGCCCTGCTCCCATGCCCCGCCCCGCGCCGCCACCGCACCGTCGTGTGTGCAGGGCGCAAAGGAGTCTGCCAAGCTGATGTACGACAGCGTGAAGGAGAAGGCGGGCATGGGGGGCTCCTCCGCTAAGGAGGACCTCAAGCAGGGTGGGTGGGGTGGGTGGGTGGGCGGCAGAGTGGCGGCTGGCATTGGGTGGCTGGCACATGGATGGTGGTAGGCAGGGCGGTCGCCACCTGGCCATCGGCTCAGCCCCGGAAGCACACACTACCGCAGTGGAAACCCCGCTCAGCTGCATGCTGCGCCCACAACCTGGTGCTGCAGACAAGCCCTGAGCTGGTGAAGCAAGCCTGAGGGTGCAGGACGAGCAAACCGTGCCGGACTAGCCTCCGACGGCCACGGCGCGCTGATGCCGCCTGCGTGTGCTGTGGTGGAAGGCAGTGCCCTCTGGCATGTGTTGTTGCATGCAGTGTGGTGTGTAAAATTGGTTGGACACAACTGCGGACAAATCGATGCAAGCAGAGGGCAGCAGAAAGGAGCGGGCAGCGAGGGGCGCGGCTGGGGCCCAGCGCCCCGCTCGCCTCTCGGTACAGCGCAGTCGCTGGTTGCAGGCCTGGGCCTGGGGGCGCGCTGTGCTCCCACAACACCCCCCCCACCTCACTTCTTCTTTCCCTTGGCCTTTGCCCCGCTCTTTGCGCCGCCGGACGCCGCGGGCGGCTTGCGCTTGGTGCCGCCGCCCGCGGTGGGCGCAGACTCGTCGCGCTCGCACGGCGCCTCCCAGACGGGTGCGGCGGCGGCCTTGGCATCGCCCTCCTTCACCAGGAACAGGCTGTGGCCAAAGCCCATGGCAACCTGCAGGGAGGGCCGGGCGGAAGGGAGGTGCGAGAACATGAGCGCCTGGTGGTGTGGTGCGCGCCTGTTTCCGATGGGCGTTGAAGTCTGGGTTGGGCCTCGACAGGTGGCCAGCAGGGCAGCATCCCGCCTGGCCGCACGCGCCCCCACCCCCTGCCGCCTGCTGCGGGGCCAGCGGCCAGCGGCGAGGCGCGCCTGCAGCGTCTGCGCCCCCTCCAGCGCCATGCACTTGTCCGGGTTGGCGGAACTCTTCTTGCCCGCGGGGCCGTAGCCCAGCTCGCTGCAGGCGCAGCCACGGCGCGGCAGGCGGGGTGAGCAGAGGACGAGGCGGGCGGGCAGGTGGGGGGCGGGAGGCAGGCAGGCAGTTCGGGACCAGGGGGCGAGATGGGTCCCCAGCAGCCGCGCCAGCAGCCGCGCCGGCGCGGTGCGCCAGCAGGCGTGTCAGCCCAGCCCAGCCCAGCCCTTGGGGCCGCCCCCACCTGTATCCGTTGGAGTGGCCCCACGTGATGGTCGACTTCTCGGCGCCGTAGGTCGCCGCGCAAGCAAAGGTGCTGCTGCCGCATGTCAGGCTCCTGATGTTCCAGCCCGACAGGCCCTCGTACGGCACAGGGTACATCAGGTTGTCGCCTGGGGGCAGGAGAGCGGGGCGGGCGGGTGAGAGGGCGCAGGGGTGGGAGGAGGAGCAGGCAAGGCGCTCGCACATGCGCTCGCACATACCCTCGCACTGCACGGCAGCGGCGCCGTGCACGCGGCGGGAACACTCCACGCTGTGGTCAGCAGGGCGGCGCCAGCGCAGCCTCACCCGAGGGCTTGAGCTTGCCCCACGCAAACAGCTGGCCGCCCACGATGGTGCAGAAGGAGGCGGTCTGACCCGCCGCCACCACCGCGTTTGCGGGCACCGTGATGCGCCCCGTCAGCGCCTCGATCAGCCGCGGCTTGAACTCGTCCTGCCGGGAGGGGAGGGAGGGGAGCAGGAGGCAGGAGGCGCGGTCAAGGGCATAGGCAGCGAGGCGGGGATGGCGCGCCCGCGGCCAGCGCTTCACATGCCCCCCGCTGGCTGACAGGAGCAGGCCGCGGTGCGGCAGGGCTGCTGCCACGCACCTGCTGCACTTTGTGGCCCAGCCGGCCGTAGCCGCCAAAGCCCCAGGTCCACACGCCGCCGTCGGAGCAGACTGCGATGGTGTGGTTGTACCCCACAGCCACCTGCATCACCGGGGGAGCAGGGGTTGCCCAGCAGGCGGCCGCTTCAGTGGCCTCCCCTGGCCGAGCAGGCACCCTGCTGTGCACCAGCACTGCTCCAGCAGCAGTTCAAAGGCCTGGTGGGAGCCCCGCCGGCCAGCCCGCCGGCCCGCAGGCCACCCTCCCAGCCACCCTCCCAGCCACCCACCACCACCGCCACCACCACCGCCGCTGCCACCCGCCCCCACCTGCGTCACCGTCTTCTCCGCCAGCGAGGCGATGATGCGCGGCTGCGGCTGCGGCTCAAACACCATCTTCACGCTGCTGTCGGCGGCGTTGTACGAGTGGTCGGTGCCGTGGCCCAGCTGGCCGTACTGCGGGCACCCCGCCGACCACAGCTTGCCGTCGCACAGCCACATCGTGAAGTCCACGCCGCACCCCACCTTGCCGCACTTGGACACCAGCGCCTGCGTGTGTGTGTGTGGGTGGGTGGGTAGAGACGGTGGGGTGGCTGGGGGCGAGCCGGGCGGGCAGAGAGGCAGCGAGGGGCATGCACCACGCTCGCGCCTGCAACCGCAGCCCCCGCCGCACGCCCCCGCCAACTCCGCCGACACCCCCGGCCCGCCTGCGCCTCACCAACTGCGGCGTGAGCGACATGTCCTCTGCCCCCTTGAGCTTCTTCACTTGCCCCGTGCCCAGCTGGCCGTACTGGTTGAGCCCAAAGGTGTACGACTCGCCCGTGGCGGTCACCACGGCGGAGTGGCTCTTGCCGGCTGACCCCGCGACAATCTTCTTGTTGCGCAGCCCCTCCACGACAGTGGGGTTGTTGCGATTGATGGTGTCGCCCAGCCCCAGCTGGCCTTTCTGCGGGCGGCAGGCACGGCGGGGGGCGGCACGGCGGGCGGAACTGCTGGGCGTGCAGCGGAGCTGGAGCAAACGTGGCGGGCAGCGTGCGGGCGGCCACGCAGCATAGCACCGCCCGCGGCATACCGCTGGCCAGGCATGTGCTGCGTCCGCAGAATCCTGCTGCTGGCAGGCTGAATCCAGGCTGGCGGCAGCATCCATCATTTCCGCACCTCGTTGCGGCCCCATGTGTAGCACACGCCATTCACGTCGCCGATGATGGAGTGGCAAGCGGAGGACCCCGCCGCAATGAAGGCCACTTTAACACCCTGCAGAGGGCAGAGCAGCCTCGGGCTGGACCCCACGGCTGGTGCAGGCGAGCGGAGCTGGCCGCGGCGGCGGGAGCGGCGGGCGGTGATGTTCTGATGAGGCACCCACCTCGAGCGCCTTGAGCCTGTGCGGCACCGAGAGGTTGGGGTACTCCGGGCGGACCTCCTTGGTGCGCCCGATGCCATAGAAGTCGGTGGCTCCACACACCAGCAGGGTGCCGGCCTCCTGCTCCTCCTTCTTCGCTTCCTGCTCCGCCATCCCTGACCGATGCGCCGGTTTAATGCCGAATTGTCAGGCAACGCGCTGGGCGAGCATTCAATTTGTACATACAAAAAATCAGTACACATAAACGGGCCACGGCTTCTCAGCAAACCCAATCGTCCGATCGGTGTGTCGAGGGTGCAGTGACATCGTGAGGCGCTGAGTGCGCCAAGGCGGCATCATCGCATTTCCCACTATGCTGGCCCGGCGCTGCCTGGCAGCCACCGCAAACGGCAGCCAGCATTTGCAGTGTGCAGCAGGGCTGTCCCAATTGAGCAGCAGCGCCTATGGCGTTGCCGGCGGCGGCGCCGCTTCTGCCGCCGTGGGCGGCGGCCGCTGCTACGCCGGCAGCGCTGGGAGTGGCGGCGAGGCACCGGCCGACATCCGCAAGGCCTTTGCCTACTGCGTGGAGCAGGTGAAGAAGCACGACTACGAAAACTACCTCTGGGTCACCCAGCTGCCCAAGGTTGGTACGCACGACTGCGCTGGCGGCTGGCGGTTGGCATGCATCCGCATCATAAAAATCGTCGCTGGGCGCCTGCGCTCCTCTCCACCGCTACAGCGCTGACAAGTCATCACCTGCCTGGCATGCGCCGTGCAGCCCCTGAGGGCTCCCATCTTTGCGCTGCGGGCGTTCAACGTGGAGACAGGCCTGATCAGCCAGCAAGCCAAGTCGGAGATGCTGGTGCTCATGCGGTGCCAGGTGGGTGACACGGGCGGCGGGTTGACCAGCCGCAAGCTGGCCCAGGCACCTCCCCCCGTGCCATGCTGGTGCCGACCCCTCCTCGTTTCGCGTTTTTCATGCGCAGCAGTGGTGGCGCGACGCGGTGAACGACTGCTTCAAGGGGCGGCCCCCGGAGCAGCCGGTGGTGACGGCGCTGGCAGAGGTGCTGCGCGTGGTACCGCTGACGCGGTACCGCCTGCAGCAGATGGTGAGCACACGAGAGGAGGACCTGCTGGCCCACGCGCAGCCTGCCAGCCTGGAGGCGGTGGAGCGGTACGCAGAGGGCACCTCGGGCCAGCTGCTGCTGCTGCAGCTGGAGGCTGCACGCATCGGCGCAGGCAGCGCTGGCGCTGGAGGCGGCAGCAGCAGCGACGACGGCAGCGGCAGCACGCCTAGTAGCGGCAGCAGCCCTGCAGGAGGAGGAGGCGGAGCGGCGGCGGCGGCGGAGCATGGGGCGGCGCACCTGGGCAAGGCGGTGGGCATTGTGGGCCTGCTGCGCGGCACGTATGCGCTGGGCAGCCAGCGGCGGGTATACCTCCCCGCCGACCTGTGCCAGCGGCACGGCGTGGGGGATGAGGACGTGCTGGCTGGGCGCGACTCGCCAGGGCTGCGCGACGTGACGCTGGCCGTCGCCTCCGCCGCCAAGCAGCACCTGGACGACGCGCGGCGGCTGGCGGCTGACGTGGCGCCAGCCGCGCGGCCCCTCTTTGCGCCCGCCGTGGCGGCCGCCATGTACTTGCAGGCGCTGGAGCAGGCGGGCTTCAACCTGTTCGACCAGCGCATGCTGCGGGGGGCCTTCTCCCCGCTGGCCTACCAGCTGCGCCTCAAGTGGGCGCTGCTGCGCAACAGCTACTGAGCTGGGCGGGGCGGCCAGGCAGACGGGCTCTGGCCATGGCTCCCATGCCAGTTTGGCCCAACCTCATGATTTGTGAGGTATTGCATGCCAGTTGGCGTCCATCCTTGTGTTGAATAACAACAAGTGCACCACAGAGCACGGCGGGCTGTGGCTGTGTGGACAGGCAGGGAGATCTTATGAGCCAGGAAGGAAGATCTTACGAGCAGAGAAAGAAAGGTGTCAAGAGCCAGTTTGCAGGGACAAAACATTGCTATCAGTACAAAATTGAAAGGGCGCAGTTAATACAAGCATTTCAGTACAAACGTAGCTCAGGGGCGCATCCCGGCTGCTGCGCCGATCACGGCAAGGCTGCCTGCTTGGCGTCTGCAAACGCCTGCAGCCCGCGCTCCAGCGACTGCAAGCAAACCCCGGTGGATGTGTCCACCAGAATGCTGACCACCCCAAGGCGCCCTACCCGCTTGATGTTGCCATGCTCGTCATCCTGCAAATGACATGAGCAACAGGCAGGGCGTGAGCAGCCACCCGGGCAGGCAGGAGGCGCGCCCATGCGGTGGTGGCGCGTTTGCCGGCCGCACTCACAAAGAAGAGCATGTCTGTGAAGGGCAGCCCCGTGTCACACTGGATGTTGGGCAGGTGCGCTTTGTCCTTCTGCGCAGAGTGCTGGTCAAAGCCGTCTGCCGCAGGGATGAGCTGGATGCTGCAGGCAAGGCCACGCAGTGGGTAGCCGCCCAGCAGCACACCAGGGTCAGGCTGGCGTGGACGGCAGGAGCAGGAGCAGGACCCTGGCTGGCTGCTGGCCCGCAGCAGGCAAGTCCGGCTAGGCTGGGCTTGCCTGCAGAAGCGGTGCCGGATGTCAAGCTTGTTGATGAAAGCATTGGCCACGTGGGGTGTGGGGGTGCGGGAGGCGACGGCCAGGGGTATGCGCCTGGCCTGCAGCCCCTCCAAGATGGCTGGCACGTGCGGGTACAGCCAGGGGGTCTGCGCCGCCGTGAACATCTCGCACCAGAAGGGCCAGAGCGTGTAGTCCAGATCAAACACGACCTGCAGCAGGAGGCCAGAAGGGCCTGCCTGCAACTGTGTGCTATTCGGCCAGGGGCAGGCCTGCCACGCAACCCGTATGTCCATGAGAGACACCAAGCCCATGATGCTGTGCACTGCGCCACCGCACTCACCAGGCTGGGCAGCGCATGTGAGAATCGGTCCAGCAGGGCGGTGACGTCGGCCAGCGTCGGCTCCGCTCCTGCTGCCGTTCCGCTGCCCCGCTTCCCGCTCGCTGCGCGGGTCATGCGGCTGGCAGCGGCGCACTCGCGACCTGCTGCGCCGGGTGGGGGAGGGTGCACGGCTGCCGGCGCTGAGGGCTTGAAGGGGCGTAGGCAGCAGACGTGTGGGGGGTGCAGGAGGACCATGCAAGCTATGATTAGGCTGCGCAGCATGCACAGGTGCGCAATGCAATAGGCAATTGGCAAGAGAAAGCCGCCAAAGGCAATGCCTGCTGCGTCTGCTACGGCTCGGTTTGTTTGGGCAGAAGAGAGCCCTCCCAGGCCTGCAGTTGCCTCTAGCGCTGGGTGGGGATCGAGGCACCACGTGATCAGTGCCGCTGCAGGCAAGGGAAGGGAATGGGCGGCGCTGCGGGCGCAGGAGGGCGGAACGAGAGCTTGGCAGCGCATACGAGCCTGAAATCAGACAGAGCGGCGTGCTCCACCAGCCACAGCGCGTAGTAGGCCGCTCAGCGGGCGGCGGGGCGCCCGGCAGCAGCGGTAGGCGCCGCCACTGCAGGCCGCCGGTTTCAGGCGCAGGCAGCATGCGGGTGCTCAACGTGGCGGAGAAGAACAAGGTGGCGGCCACGGTCAGCCAGCTGCTGAGCAACGGGCGCTGCCGGCAGTCCAACTCCTGGTGAGCGCCGCGGGCCTCGTGCCCTCCCGCCGCTGCCCCCTCTGCTCCCTGCCCCTCGACCCTGCCCCTCTTCTGCGCCCACCCCGCCCCCCACCCCCCACCCGCAGCGCCACCTACTGCAAGATCTACGAGTTCCCCTTCACCGTGGCGGGGCGCCAGGCGGACATGGTGTTCACCTCGGTGGCGGGCCACTTGCTGGAGCTGGAGTTTGAGGGGCGAGTGCGGGGCTGGCACAGCTGCGCACCGCGCGAGTTGTATGATGCCCAGGTGTTCAAGGGCGTGCCCAAGGTGGGTGGGTAGGTGGTAGGTGGGCGGGTGGGTGGGCCGGCTGCCTGAGGGGGGACCGGGGTGCGGGTGCAGGTGTGGCGCCTGCGAAGACGGGCGGGCAGCACCCGCTGCTCCTCCTGTCCGGGCCTCGCCGCTGCGCTTCGCGCGTGGCTGCCCTGCGGCCGCCACCCCACCCCACGCCCGCGCCCGCGCCCGCGCCGCGCCGTGCAGGGGGAGAACGAGAAGATGAAGCGCAACCTGCAGCAGCTGGCGCGCTCCTGCGACTGGCTGGTGCTGTGGCTGGACTGCGACCGCGAGGGGGAGAACATCGCGTTTGAGGTCATCCAGGCGCGCCCGGCCTGCCCGCCCGCCTGCCCGGCTGGCTGGCTGGCTGGCCTGCATCTGCCACCTCAGCCCAGTCCTGGGGCCACATCCAGCACCACGGCTCTCACACATCCTCCCGAGGGGATCCTCACCGCGTGTGCACGCCGCCTGCGGCGCCCCTCGTCTGCCTGGCTGCAGGTCTGCACCGAGGTCAACCCGCGCCTGGTCATCAAGCGCGCCCGCTTCTCGGGTGGGCAGGCGGCGCCGGCGACTCAGCAGCTGCGCTGCTGCCCTGCCCACGCAAGCCCGCCCCACGTGCCCCCCCCCCCGGCAGCCACCCTCCCACCCAGCTGCCCCTGCTCGGCACCTGGTGCCCTGCCCCGCCTCCTCCCATCCACGCCAGCCTGCCTGTG